ATATATATATATATATATATATATATATATATATATATATATATGTAGAAAAAGATTATCAAAATGGAGGAAAAGTAAAAGTTGAGGGGATGGGATGAACACTAGAATTCTCTGAATGTGGCTTGTTTTACAATTTTCACTTTAACTAATATGAAGTGATAAGCTTAAACACAGAGAGAAGAATTATTCCAAGTGGTTTCCCAACACAATATTATGATTATATATCCCTAGTGAGATATAACCTAAGGATAAAAAGGAAACTGCAGCCTGGTCGGGCATGGCTCAGCGGGTTGAGCATCAACCTAGGATCCAAAAGACTGCAGTTCGACTCCTGGTCAGGGCACATGCCTGGGTTGTGGCCTTGATCCCCAGTTAGGGGCACGCAAGAGGTAGCCGATCAATGACTCATCATTGATGTTTCTATCTCTCCCTCTCCCTTCCTCTTTCTGAAATCAATAAAGATACATTAAAAAAGAAAAAAGGAAACTGCAAAGAAATCTTAATCTGAATTCAGTTATCATATTAGTAATAATAGCATTATTTTGAAATATATATATTGAAATAGAGCAAATACATTACATTAATGTTTTAGGATTTAAGAATTCTAGCATAAGAGAAAAGGGAGAGAAATACAAATTCAAAACATTAAGCAAAAACCCTACAATCTTTTTATTGCTACTTAGCCTCACTGCAGCTTTCTTTTTCATTAAAAATTGTTTTTCAGCCCTGGCTGGTGTTGCTCAGTGTTTAGAACATCGGGTCATGCACTGAACTGTCGCTGGTTTGATTCTCAGTCAAGGGCAGGTACCTGGGTTTCAGGTTCAATCCCCCTTGCCCTGTTTGGGGCTTGTATTGGAGGCAACCAATCAATATGTCTCTCTCATATTGATGTTTCTCTCTCCCCCTCCCTCCCTTCCATTCTCTGTCTTAAAAAATATAAACATATATATATACACACACATACATACATATATATACATACATGTATGTGTGTGTGTATATACACACATATATATATGTATGTATGTATGAACAGGTAACCAAACCATGCCCGAGTTCCATCTACCTCTTATATACTCAAGTATATAAGTGATGTTCATCAATGGCTCTAAAACCATTAGGTGAAAAGGCTAATGGGAAACTTTATAATGGAAAAATTAGGCTGACAACACTTGAATCTTTCTTAATTCTTAAAATCACAAAAAGAAACTAGACATTTTGTACCTCTTAATGTGTTCCTACAGGAAGTCTAAGAATGTCCCATGAATTATTCTTGAGAAAAAAAAAAAGAATCGAAATCTGATCAATCCTCTAGATCAGCACTTCCCCAATAGAAATATGTGAGCTACAAATGCAAACCATATATGTTATTTTAAATTTCTAATATCTGCACTAATATATATTAATTATATTAAATACATAATCTTAATTATATATTTTAGTTAATCTGATATATCAAAAAATATTATTTCAGCATGTAATCAATATGAAAAAAGAGATATATTTTACATGCTTCAAAATCCAGTGTGTATTTTACACTTAGAGTATATCTCAATTCAGACTCGCCACATTTCAAGTGCTCAATAGCCACATGCAGCTTAGTGGCTACCATACTGAACAGCACAAACATAGATCTTAACCACTTTATAGAAAATATAAAGGATAGAGTACCATGTTACACATCAACATGGGGATGTAGTCAGCCTAATCTAGACTTTGGGAAAACTTATAGGATAGTGACCCAGTTTTTTTAAACAAATACATTGATATAAAAAGAGAGACAGACAGAGAGACAGAAGAACTGATATGGAATAAAAGAGATATATCAACCAAAGGATCTTATTTGCATCTTGATTTGAACAAACCAACTATAAAAAGACATTTATGGGCCCTGGCTGGTGTCCTCAGTGGACAGAGCATGGGTGTTCACACTGTAGGGTCTAAGGTTTGATTTCCAGTCAAGGGCATGTACCTGGGTTGCAGGTTTGATCTCCAGGGTAAGGGAGGAAACCAGTGGATGCCTGTCTCTCACATCAATGTCTGTCTCTCTCCCTGTGTCTCTCTCTATGTCTCTCCCCAGCCCCTTCCTTCCCTCCTTTCCACTCTCGCTAAAAATCAATGGAAAAAATATCTTCGAGTGAGGATTAACAAAAATAAAACCAATCAAACAAAAAAAAGACATTTATGGGACAACTGGAGAAACTATAATACTTAAATGGTTAATAGATGACATTAAATAATTATTTCTTTAGGTATGAAATGGTATAATTATATTAAAAATAAGAGTCCTTATCTCATAATGAAATATTTGTGGAAGAAATAACATGATGACAGGACTTGCTTTAAAATAACCCAACTAGGGAAAAGAACGTATTGGTTAGATTTTTCACATGTTGGAGCTGGGTGACAAGATTTTTGAGAAATCATTATACTATTTGTTCTAGTTTTTTATGTTTGAAAAATTAATACAATTTTAAAACTCGATGAGAGGGAGAAAGCTTACCTAAGTTAACCATTCAGCAATTTCAGAAATATTTCTCTATTCCTAATTGGCATGGATTGACCGGGAGCTTCTGAAAGAGTTGCCTAGAATTGCTGAGAATTTGACTGGGCAGCCTCCATCTCCATGCCTGGAATTCATTGCCAGTTGAGAGCATGTCCTTGCTCTGTTGTTTCCATCCCACCCTCATCCACTCTGGATAAATGTAAAGAGGGGGAAAATCTCTCAAGAAGGATTTTTAGATTAAAGCTTTCAAACAACTTACAGCCAGAAGACTCTGGTTAATTTCTGCGCCTTCCATCTTTGTCTGTCTATCTGAGTCTCTGGCATCTGCTGCTCTTTCACTGCCAGCCAAGTCAATGAAAGAGATCCTAGAGAAAAGACACAGCAGGGATGATTTCTTTGGCGCTTTGGTTTATTTCTATATCAGTCAGCATTTTGTAATAGTCGGAAGAAATTAACACTGGCCCATACTCAGGGGAAAAAGACATTACTGTCAGCTTTCCAAAAGTATTGCAAAATTCTAATCTGTCTGCTGCTGCTGGCACCATTTACCCAGACACTTTCGTTGGTTTTAATCATTCGTGAGCAAGTATGACTGAAATTAATAAGACAGTCTTTCCATAAGGTTAAATGACCACAATGTAAATCACTTAGGGGACCACTTAGATAATTAAATAGAAACTTTTGTGGGCTACTTTCCAGCCAAAAAAAGAAAAAAATAAAGGAAGGAAGGAAAAAAGAAGACTCATTACTCAGAGGTGAGATAGGCTCATCCATCAGTGTGGCAGAGTTTGCTAAGATAGCACCAGAGAAGCAATGAATGTACCCAATTGTCTTATGGCTTCTTTCAAGAAGGATGGATTAATTTTCCTTTTTTTGGCCTGTAAGCTCTCTGAGATGCATGCCCTGCTCTTCCTCTACTGATACTGTGTTTCAAGTTAGAAGCAATCAATGTTCCTTTTAATAACTTAGGGTTGACCAACAATAGGCCATTACTTCATGGTTAATCAACTGATGGCACTTCAGTACAATGATTTATTTCAGAGCTAACAACTCTACTCTGTATTCCTGAAATAAAGAACTCCACGATGGCAGGGTGTCCTGTTGTTGCTAACACATATTTCAAAGTCACATTAGGAAAAGGCAGACAATGCAATTCCCTGAATATTTCCAGCTCACCTGCCAAATGTCCGCTTGGCTGAATCTTTAATCTGAATTTGGATGATAGCATGGGAGCGGGAGGAGTCTGCATTAACTCCAGTGGCCCCGGTGCTGCGTTCCTTGCTGCCCTTCAGAATCACCTGAAAAAGAAAATCCATAGGGTGACTTCCCCAAGGAGTAAACAAAGCCCTCCAGCTCCCAAGAGTGGGCTGAATGCAATAGAGACCAGACATGTTACTTTGTCAGTACAATGCAGTTTTTCCCCTTCATGTTAAAAGCTGCCTGAACACTAAATCATAGAGAGTAAATACCCAACAGCAATGAAAACAATGTGGAATACTAATCTTGGGGGAGAACATTCAATAGCTCGAAAGCTAATTTAGTTCTTGATCTCATACATTTTTTTAGTATCTTTGATGGATTTAACCTGACAAAAATCCCTAGGGCATAACTTGGCTTCAAAGCAAGGTGCCATAATTCCCACCTATCTTAGTAATTGAAACAAAGGACAGAAATGTGCATCATGGAATTGACTGATCACATCCACCTGTTCCACCAGGATGCAGTCAGTCATAAAGGGGGTCAGGCCTGATGTGTGGGAACACGGAAATGATGAGTTATTGCAAATGCCATGAGTCCATGATTTTCCTTGAGACCAATTACCCTCCAAACAGGAATAAAGACTAACCTGGGTCCCCTCTGGCCATAGGGAATGGGGGAGAGGAGGTAAAACCTCAGGACTGGCCTCTAGCCACTGAAAACACAGCCATATATGAACATGCTGGCCCGATTTTGGATAGAGGGAGTATTAATTTCTGAGAATCAAAAAGGTGAAAAACTTTAAACATATTATTTGATAGAATCCTCACAACAGCCTAATGTGAGGTGATTATTATTATACCCAGTTTACAGTTGAGGAATAAACTCAGAGGTTGATTTCCTCACAAACAGCTGTAGTGTGGCAGAACCAAATCTCACATCCAGCATGTATGACTCCGAAGCCCATGTGGTTTCTACTACACTGTGGGGCATTGATGATAAATTTATTTATATTGCAGTAAATTAAGGGTAAAAAAGTCCTATCTCATTTTTCCACAGTCTCTCATAATTTTAATTTATATCACATTGAACACAGCTACAGTTTCCAAATTAAGAGTCCAAAAGTTGTCAGTCAAGCTTCCACAACAGGCCAAAAAATATCTTAACAAGTAAGGGCTTGTGCATTTTAAAAACTTAAGTAACTAATAAGTTCCTCCATGGTCTGAGCAATAGTTATGTTTTTACAGATTAATTGTGAGATTTAGAATTATATTTTAGAATGAAATTTAGAGTCATACTGTGAATCTACTAATTTTGTAAATAGCTTGCAAAAAGCTTAGAGGGACTATCTGATAAATCCTGTGATGACAACCTATTAATTTATAAAACTAGATTATCAACTACATGAATAGCATGTTGCTGCTAATCAGAAATCAGAAAAGTCAGAGCAGTAATCCCTCACACTGAGTGTGGCAAGTGCCAAAAGAAAGTACTGTTAACTAAGCTTAGATGCTGGTTAGTTCACTTAAGGCCATATATGTGACTGAACCATCTAGTTTAAATGCACTTCCTCATCCTAGCTTCTCCCTATCACCCCTTCAAGCTTACACAGATTGTAACAATACAATGATGATGGACCATCTTAGATTTGTATTGTTCTTTATATCAAACTTTTTTTTATTAGAAAATTAAGACATTAATTTTCCAACTTCCTGTGGAAAAGTTGGAAAATTTAGGAAAAGGGTACAGAAGAAAATATATACCTCCCATAATCCCAGAGTTAACAAGATTCCTGTGCATTTCCTCCTAGAGTTTCAGGGTTCTCACAGTTTTGTTTTATCTTTTACAAACACCATGAAGAGATAAGAGAGATCTTTTAAATCTCCACATTTGTGTGAGCAATATGCTTGATGGATAAGGGAGGGATCACAGAAAAGTTAAGTGACTTACCCAAGGTCACATAGATAGAATATGGTCAGGCTAGGGATAGGAGCCAGGTACCCTCTGCCACATGTAATGATGATACTTCTGCTGGCACCTAGTGAGAGCTCTGAGAAGCATCAAGGCTACACCTGGTCAGGAACTGTGGATATGGACAGGAAGTGGAAAGGATGGCCTTGTGGTGAAATTCACCCCCAGAGGAGTCAGGAAAGACTGGCTTCTGGGGTTCTATAATAGAGTTTTGCACTTGGCTTTTCACTGCATCTTGTCTACCATGATGTACTAGGTACCTGTGAATACTTTCAAAAAACCTAACATATTGTTGAGGCAACCTTTCCTGACTAAATGCCTTTTAGGGAAGGCATGAAGGAATTTCTGGTCCTTGGTCCAGTTTCCTCACCTTCAGTAACAGCCTGAAATCATCATGACTTTCAGAAACTGGGGAATAAAGCAGCTGAGCTCTGAGGAGTAAAAAATGAGGCAGTTTGTGAAGATTATCAGACAAAATTTTGTAAATGACATACAACTCAAGTGTAGCAGTTAAGAGACTGAAATCTTAAGTTAGACTATCTGGGTTCACATGCCAGCTCTAGCATATGGTTGTGTGAACTTTTGCAATGTGTGAACATTTGCAAGTCACTTAACATTTTAGGGTCTCATTTTCTTACCTATAAAATGGTACTCTCATAGTACCATAAATGGCACATAGTAAGTTTTCAATAAATATTAATTTTTAAAAAGATACTAAAGAGCTAACATCTCCATGTAAACTTCCAAAACTTAAACTATTTTCACAAATGTAAACCAATAAGTTTCATGGGGAAATAGAGTTTTAGAGATCAACATGAGATTCCACGGGCTCCCAAGTACAAAAAAGGAAAAAAAAAAAGAAAAAGAAAGGAAGGAAGGAAAGGAGGAAGTGAGGGAGGAAGAAAGAGAATAGAGAGAGAGAAAAAAAAAAGACTATTTTGGGTAAATATAAGTCTAGGAGTAGCCCTGGCCAGTGTGGCTCAGTTGGTCAAGAGTTGTCTCATGCCCCCCCCCCCAAAAGGTTGCCAGTCAGGGCACATGCTCTGGTTGCAGGCTGGATGCCCAGGAGGTGCAGTGCAGGAGGCAGCTGATTGATGATTCTTTCATCATTGATGTTTCTATCTCTCTCTCCCTTCCTCTCTCTAAAATCAATTAAAAAAATTTTAATATTAAACAAAGAATAATAGCTGTTACAAATTGAGCTAGCATCACAGTAAGCATTTTATGTACGTTATCTCATTTCCTTGTCTATTATTAGACCCAGTCATCTACTATCATCCACATGTTTCAGGTTCAGAAAAGTAAAAGACATGTTCCAGGATATATGGCACTAGGACCCAGCTCCGTTTGGTTATAAGGATTTAATCATCAAGCTTCCTGCACAAATATCAAAGAAGACCTATAAGTACTTCAATAAGAGACGCAATGTGTATAGATTAAGTCTCTATCACTGGCATACAACTGAGGCTCATCTAGGGTAAGCTCTTTCTATGTGGGCCTCTGTTACCCATTACAGCCAAGGAAATGATAAAAATAACAATAATAAAGCTGCCAGTGTGAGTCAGGTAACAAGTGGCCCTATCTGAGTGAGCCTGAGAGTGATCTGTGAGGGAAACACTTGAAGATGATACCTGAGGGTGACACTTGAGCAAACACATGGGTGATACCTGAGTGAGCATGAACAGTGACACCTGAGAGATAGTGAAAGTGTGACATCTGAGTTAGCAAGTGCTGTTGTTTCGAGTCAATAAATGTTTATGAGGGTAACTGTGTCAGATATTCATAATTCATACCAACTTTCCAACTTGATCTCAGCTGGCTTTCTTCTTGTACAACCTCATATACTACAGACTGAGGGTATCAATGGCAATACGCTGACTAACGAGAAACTTCTTTTTGTTTTTCTTAGGAAAGAAACATACCTTAGGATAGAGCAGTGCCATAAACTCTTCCAGGGTGAGAGTGTGATTTGACACCAGATTGCCCATTAGCACAGTTACGGTCCATAGCAAAGGAAAGGGGACTTCCTCTTAGTGTTTGCTCCTTTCCCACTGAATTGGTCCAATCTCCAGGGACAAAGGCATCATGAGGACCAAATCTCTTGAAACTCCCAGCCAAAAGAACAAATGGCTGGGAAAAGTGGGGCCAAGGGAATCAGTGTATGAGAAACAATTTCCTTAGGACTCCACAGTGGAGGGAGTTCTGGACAGGTAAGAATGGTCACAGTCTCAAGGAAGCCCCTTCAACACATCCCCCACACTTTTGTTCTGTACCTGCCTTTGCAATCCAAGGGGCTCTTGGCTCTTAGGTGACCTCTAAAACAGCCATACTCAGGTGCTAACTTCAGGTTTTGGATCCCAGAAATCTAATAATCACACAAGTATGAGGTCCCATTCCTTAAACAAAATTTACCTATTTGTCCCAGGAAAAAGAAACTGTCAGGAAAAGACATGTCATCGGTGGGCCACCCTGCCATTTCATGCACCCAAGTCCATGGAGGGGTACATTGTGAAGCTGTTCTAAAGGTGAATATTGTCAAGTACCCAGCTTGTCCTTCCAGTCTTCTCCCTTTGACTCTAAGCCAGGCTTGGTGGATATACTAGAAGATGACTATGATGGCTGCATGTTAGAATCACCTGGGGAACTTTTAAAATAACACCCACCTTCATACATTGGTGGTGGGAATGTAAAAATGGCGCAGGCATTTTGGAAAACAGTTTGCAGTTCTTCAAAAAGTAAGACCCAGTAATTCCACTCCTAGGCATATACTCAAGAAAACTGAAAACGTACTTCCACACAAAAACTTGTACTTGATATTATTCATAATAGCCAAAAAGTGGAAATAACTTACATATTCATCAACTGATGAATGAATAAATAAAATATATCCATACAGTAGAATATTATTTAGCATAAAAGGAATGAAATACTGATACATGCTACAACATGAATGAATGTTGAAAATATATTAAGTGAAAAAAAGACAGAGGCAAAAGGTTATATATTATAGGATTCTATTTATATGATATGACCAGAATAGGGAAATGCATAGAGATAGAAATTAGTGGTTGCCAGGCACTGGAGATGCAGGGGAAATAAAGAAGTAACTGGCTAATGGTGTGGGGTTTCATTTTGACATGATGAAAATGTTCTGGAATTAGATAGTGGTGATGGCTGTACAACTTTTTGAAAATACCAAAAAAAAAAAAAAAAAATCACTCAATTGTATATTTTAAAAGGGTGAATATTACGGTATGTGTATTATATCTTAATAAAAATTGTATTAAAAAACCACTGAAGTGTACACTTTAAAAAGGTGAATTTTATGGTATGCGAACTATATTTCAATTTAAAATAATAATACCCACATCTGGGCTCACCCTTGAGAGATTCTGATTTAACTGGCCTCACATGGACTCAAGCAAGCATTAAAAGACATGATGGAACTAGAAAGACAAGCCATGGAACAAGACAACATGCTTATGACACAAAACACTGACAAAAGACTCATCTTCAGAATATACGAATCAGCAAAAGACAGATGACCCAAAAATGAAGAAAAAAACCCGAACTGGCATTCCCAAAAGAGGAAATTAAAAAGATAAAGTTAAAAATATGAAAAGCTATTCAATTTCAATTTTAATCAGCAAAATGGGAATTAAAGATATAATTACACTTTCAAACAGGCAAAAATTCAAAAATCAAAGAAAGTGTTGGTGAAGATGAAGAGCAATGGGTTTGCTCATATACTGCTTGTGGGAGTGTACACTGCTTTGGGAAGCAGCTGGCATCTTGTAGGAAAGTGGAAGATAAGCATTCCACAACATAACCTAGAGTTATGCTGGGTACTGAAATACATGTATAAGGACACTGACAGCCACGCTGTTCAGCAGGGCCCCAGATAGAAAGAACCCCAATTGTTCATTAACAGTGGAATGGTTAAATAAACTGTGCTACATTCATATGATTAATAACTGCAAGTAAAAATGAACAAAACTCAAAAGCATAATGTTGAGAAAAAGCAGCAAGACACAAAAGAATACATACAGTGTGATTCTATTCGTACAGAATTTAAAAAAACAACAGGTGAGAACTAAGTTATATCTATGGATAACAGATAATCGGTAAAAATAACAAAGAACAAGAAAATAATCAGCATAAAAGTCAGATAGGGGATATGATTGTATTCTTGTGGGGTTCTGCAATGTTCTATTTCTTTTTTTCTTTTTAAAATATATTTTTATTGATTTCGGAGAGAGGGAGGGAGAGGGAGAGATAGAAACATCAGTGATGAGAATCACTGATGGGCTGCCTCCTGCAAGCCCCCTACTGGGGATCGAGCCTGCAATCCAGGCACGTGGAATTCAACCATGATCTCCTGGTTCATAAGTCGATGCTCAACCACTGAGCCACACCGGCTAGGCATGCAATGTTCTATTTCTTAATGTGAGTTCTATTTCTTAAGTTGATTATGAGGGCGCTTGTTTCTACTATACATTTTAGGTTTTATGCATTTTTCTGTATAGTGCTATTTTCCACAATAAAAAAAGGTTAAACCATTTTAAGTAAGGAAAAAATCCCCCTAATGATCTAATGTAAAGCCAGGTTGAGGACCACTGCATTAAAGGAAGGTTCACCAGAAATATATCTGTATATAAGCTAATAAGTTCCCAGAACAGGAAAAAAAATCTAAATATTCTAAACTATTAACAGTAGATATCTCAGTGGAGAATGGGGAGTACTATACAGTAAATTAGAGAAGACTTTATTTTTCTATCATATATTTTTTAATGTTTAGATGTAATAAGGAGCAAGGGTTACTTTGGTTATCATAAAAAGATAACTTTTAATAAAAGAAGATTTTAAAATACCTTTGGAAGGATACACACACAAAAACTTAAAAAAAAGTTTCTTCAGGAAAAAGCAATGGAAGGGATATTTTCATTGTACCTTTTGAATTTTGAACCCGTGAAAGCACTACCTATTAAAATTTTTATTCAAAATAAGAATATTTCTCTCTAGCAGCTTTTCCCAGAGCCCACTACTCATTAGCAGCCTTTGAAACTGGTGCAAGAGTATCCTCTCATGCATTAGGTTTTCCCAAATCCCATACCTCCCACTACCATGGCAGTTAGACAACCACCATATAGAGAAAAAATCAATCCTCTAAGAGGAGGACTCACATTTTATAAATGTGAAGTGGTGTGCTTGCCATTGCCCTTTGCCTAACTAAATCTGAGTCCATTATACTTGCTAGATAACAAAATGAATTCTTCCCCTGTACTTAGGCTGCTACAGTGGTATAGTAAAGAAGGGAGAGTTACCTCCAAGAGGAGCTCCACACTATCCACCTGGAGCTCTCGCAGTCCCACAATCTGTACCACGTGCTTGCTATCTTCTCTTGCGAAGAGCCTGCAGAGGCAAGAACATGGTTGGTATGACAGAGCTGCTGTAATAGACTTTGTTTTTGCCTCCCCAGAAACCACTCCCCCACCAATAAGTAGCAGTTTTGCCCTCTGGGTGGGATTGATGTGCATTCTCCCCAACCATTCCCACACCTCCTGGCCCCCACCCAGGGCTTCAGACATGGTCCTTGATTGTTGTAAACAAATCAGCATCTTTAGCTACAATTAGAAGAATGAAAGTATAGGAGGGAAGGGGGAAAAAAAGAATGAGTATATAACTCAGATCTATGCCAATCAGTGGATAGCGTATTCCTGCCTAGAGTGACTAGTTCAGGAGTAGATATGGGATCTTTGCAGGTCCAATAAAAACAAAGTTCTAATCTCTGGTTGTTACGTGCCTGGGGGTGAGGTGCTCTCACTCTCTAGAAATGAGAGCATGTGGCCCTGAGAGCAGTTGCAGCCATGTAGCATTCAAAAGAGAGACAGTTCTGGAATAAAGTTAACACCATAGAAGGTAGAGCAGAGATGGAAAGAAACTGGGTCCTTATAACACCCCTGAGCTGCTATAGTAAAAAGACCCTAACACCTGACTGTCCTCTAGGCTTTCTAGTTACATGAGCTAATGACTTCCTTAAATGCTTAAGACAGTATATGTGGGGTTTTATTTTACTTGCAACATAAGCAGTCCTGATATATCTTCTAAGGAGCAAGGAAGAGCTGGTGCTGCAACTGAATGCTTTAGGCTTGCATGTAAGGTAATGAGTGGTTATAGTCTACCATCATCATTAAACCAGACCCATCAAGGGGCATGTATTTAATCTATCAAAGACTCTTAAAATTATTTTTTCCCTTAATAAGATACTGATTAAGGTTAGGAATGAAGCCTGGCTGGCGTGGCTCAGTGGTTGAGTATCGACCTAGGATCCAGCAGATCACAGTTCAATTCCTGGTCAGGGCACATACCCAGGTTGCAGGCTCGATCCCCAGCAGGGGGTGTGAAGGAGGCATCCAATCAGTGACTCTCTCATCACTGATGTTTCTATCTCCCTCTCCCTCTCCCTTCCTCTCTCTGAAATCAACAAAAATACATTAAAAAAAAAAAAGGCTAGGAATGGAATTCCATTTCATGAAAAAAGAAATTTTCTCCAAAAAAATTTGTTCTTAGCCTATGATTCCCTAAAGTTTCCAAGTATTTACAAGATTGGAGAAAACAGTTCACTGATGCCCATGACTGTTCAGAAAACAACTCTGTTAGAATAGTTAGGCTTCTGGAATAAAAGAAGGATCTAGCTTTCAGAGCCCTCATGTCATTCCTGAACATACTTCCCGGGTCCTATGCCCTGAGCTCACCTCAGAAAGGCTCCTAAATGGACACCTAAAATATACTGCTAGATTTTTAAATCCTATAAGCAAGATTTCTTTTTTTTTTTAATCCTCACCCGAGGATATTTTTCCATTGCTTTTCAGAGAGAGTGGAAGAGAGAAAGAGAGAAACATTGATGTGAGAGAGGGCTGATGCTCTAACCACTGAGCCAAATCGGCTAGAGCTTGTCCTCTACTTTTAAGAGTTAATTGGAAGATCCTTAAACTCTGGTTTCTAGTTTAAGAGGTGGACTGTGCATATATACTTTTATCTACATTTGTCAAAGCTTCGCTATTATTATTATTATTATTATTATTATTATTATTATATTTTATTAAAAAAACAACAGGATGAAATAAAACAGCTCTAAACAAACAAGAAAGGGTGCTATCAGTAGACCAGGACATTTCAGAAGTTCCAAAATGGGAGGAAACAAAGAGATATTAGCCAATTAACCAGAGATATTAAAAAAAACAAAAGCCCTACAGCCCAAGACACTTGCAAAGTAAGTTTGGGTCTTCCCTAGTGAGCCCTAGAGAAGCTTAAACCCAGGATTAAGCATATTCACATCCCCTTGGCTATAATTAAAGAATTCAAGTATACAGGGTAATATACCTGGGTCATTCATTAAAGAATTACACTCACAACAACAATAATCTGACTGTCCTTTCGCACAAACACATAAATAGCACAACAGTGGCTTTTATTCTGATGCCAACTATTCTTTAAAGGAAGTAGTCATTCTGACTGAAAAGAGCCCCTAAATAAGGTTGTTGGGGCTTGGAAGAGAAGCTGTGATTAACTTGAGGCTTCAAAACCAACACAGAGAGGGTAAAAAAGGGAGGCAAATTTTTGCGAAAGCAACCCCAGAGTGGGACCCTCCTTTATTTGGCACAATGGAACCCCCAAAACCTATATATTTTCTAAGTTGTGGGAGACCGTCTCTTTTTGTTGGAATAGTTCACAGGACGATGGCTTGTCTAAACCCACTCCGTGGCCTTTCCAGTTATGCTACTCCACACTCTAGTGCCCCTCTACAATGGGGGCTAACCCTATCATGCTTTCATTACTGAACTGGAGCTGCTCCTCCACCACCACTCCCCATTCCAGTGCTTGCCTGGAGCTCATAGGACTTTCATGTCCTTTTGGACAGCTCCATAGAGGCTTGGAAATCTTTGTTGTGGGGCTAGTCTATTTTACTGATTTGGTTTCCCCAGCCTTCTACCATGTTCAGCCTCAGCTCACTCCTCTCCACCCAGTGTAGCTACTCCCAACATGTCTCATGTCTGGTTAATTCTGTTAACCAGACAAACTTTTATCCTTCCATCTCCCCTACTTCTCCTCTCCCCCTTTTTTCCCAGTCAGTCGATACCTTAACTTCGTTGCCTCCTACTCAGTCATCTGTTTCAACCTAAGTAAAATTTTGTTATAAAAATACAATAGGGATTTAAAATCAGAGTTACCGAATACATTTCTAAGTTACTATTATGTTGCAAGGGCAATAGCTTAAGTCTTATAAGAGTTAAAAGTCTCATGTGAAGTAAAGAGATTTTCTTCTCTTTTTACTGACTTAAGAAAACTATCACGAAGCTTACTCTAACATTATTGAGGGGGAAAAACCAAAAGAAAGTGGAAAACAGTTCTTCTGGTATAATAATAGGTCAAAGGAATAAAAAGGGATTTAAGTATATGTTGGTTTCCTGACCTCCTGAAATTAGATCTTTTTCATAGATCAAAATAAAAGAGACACTCTTTGGATAAACATTAGAATATTGATCACTTTAAAAATACTAATGAAAGGCTAATCTACACTTTTCTCTAGCTGAACTGACAGTTTAAAAAACATGTATCTGACTCTCATTTCACAAAAGGGCATTAATGTACCAAAGACTCATTAAATCCCATGAGTCAGTGGGACTCTGGCTTAAAACAATGATGAATAGATTCACAGTTTCCCACTCATATCCAGTACCTTTTTCTCCTATTTAGGAGGTCATAAAGCTGTCCACAGTAGATTTCATAGAAGCTGATCCACACAAAGAGATGCCTTCTTGGCTGGGACACTTCTAGTTGCCTGAAGATGTCTTTTGCAGCCAGAGCATACAGTCCTGGGTTCTGATGAGTTCCTATCATGGTGTAGGTCTTTCCAGCACCAGTCTGTCCATATGCAAAGCAAGTGGCATTGCCTCTAAGGGAAGAATAATTTAAATAGCTTATACATGAGAGAAATAGTAATCTACCCATAGATTTTTAATGACAAAAGTGAGGCAGAAAAAGACTCTTGGACAAAATTCAGCTATAAATATACAATCCTTTAAAGAGAGGAGGGCTTTACATTATAAAAACACAGGAAGAGGAAAAACATTCTCAAAGCAGCACATGAGTTTTCTGACAGGAATATTATGGGACTGGTAAGACCATAAGACAATTCTGGAAGATAAGGAAACGACTCCTAGCTTTAGAATAGAGGTGGGGAACATACCTGTGGAATCATTTGGTTTGGCCCTGCCAAGGCAACCACAGGTGAGACTCGAAAGTCAGTAAATCTAGGAGCTTTTTTCAGAGCAACATAAATTTATATTAAGTGAATCATAGTAATAACGTAAATTTTGAGGTACAAGCAAGGCCCTTGGCAGAAAAAAGGTTCCCCATCCCTGCTTTAGAGGATGCCAGAGAACATGATCTTGTGTTAATCTGGAAAGATAAGTTTGGAAATGTGAGAATCAAAAGATGGGAGCTAATCAGATTTAAGCTGCTTCAAGCACAGACCAGTTAACTTGTCTTTTAAACCGTGGCTCTCAGCAGTGTGGGTACTTGAATACACTGGCAGAGGCACAGTTAGGAAAATGATCACAGAAGGATTACTTCAACACACTTAAAAACACCTAGCTTATCTTTGGAACATTTTAGGGAGAAGCTTTTAAAAGAAACAACAAATATGGACATGAGGAATCTCTGTTACACTTTATATAATTTATAGTTAGTTACGGGCACGCAACTTGCAACTTTCTTATTTATTTATTTGTTTGTTTGTTTATTTATTTAATATATCTTTATTGATTTCAGAGAAAGGAAAGGAGAGGGAGAGAGAGAGACGGAAACATCAATGATGAGAGAGTCATTGATCGGCTGCCTCCTACACGCCCCCGACTGGGGACTGAGCCCGCAACCCGGGCATGTGCCCTGACCAGGAATTGAACCCTGATCGCCTGGATCCTAGGTCTATGCTCAACCGCTGAGCCACGCCCGGCCGGGCTCTTATTTATTTATTTTTACCGTTGAGAATATTACAGATGTCCCTCATTTTCCCCCTTCATCCCCCTCCACCTGCCTTCTGCCCCACCCCAGGCCTTCACCACACTATTGTCTGTGTCCATGGGCTACGCATATAAATTCTTTGGTTAATCTCTTCCCCCACCCCCAACCCCTTCCCTCTGAGATCTGTCAATCTGTTCCACGTGCAACTCTCTTATTTTTTATTGGTAATGTCTTAACATTCAAATTCTAACTTATTTTCAAAACTTAACTCTCTCAAACAGCACTCCCTAGATATGGTGCATAGGAAATTGAACTTGAAAGATATTTTACTTTTTTAGCCTTCTCATACAAATAATTATAAAAAAATTTAAATGATGTCTACAAAACAATAAAAAGACAACAAATATGGGCAAATGAAAATATTTAAATGACCAATAAGCACATGAAAAGATGCTCAATATCATTAGGCATTAGGGAAATTCGAGTTAAAAATACAATGAGATACAGTTCCAAATCCATTAGATTAACTAAAATAAAAATGTCTGACAATGCCAAATATGGTGAGAATGCAGAACTTCAATTCTCATATATTGATTGCTGTTGGGATATAAAGTAATGCATGCAAAACTGTTTGACATTTTTAAATAAACACACCTACTCTCTGACCCAGCAATTCCATTTCTAGATTTTTCATCCAAGATAAATGAAAACATGTCCACAAAAAGACTTGTATAAGAATGTTTATACAGCTTTATTCATAATAGTCCAAAAATGGAAACAACCCAAATGTAAATCAACAGGAAAATGAATAAACAAATTGTAGTATATTCATAAAAGGAAATATTACCCAGCAATAAAAACAACAGGTACATGCAACAACATGTACTAATACAAAAAAACACATTGCTCTGGCCAGTTTGGCTCAGTGGTTAGAGCATCGGCCTGTGGACTGAAGGGTCCTAGTTCGATCCCAGCCAAGGGCACATACCTCAGTTGCAGGCTCGCCCCAACGGGGGCGTGTGAGAGGCAATCAATGTGTCTCTCTCACATCGATGTTTCTCTCTCTCCCCCCACCCTTCCTCTTTCTGAAAAGCAATGGAAAAAATGTCCTTGGGTGAGGATAATAAAAAAAATACATTATGTTAAGCAAAAGAAACCAGGCATAAAAAAATCATCATAGGCCTGGCCGGGCGTGGCTCAGCGGTTGAGCATTGACCTAGGATCCAGGAGATCGAGGTTCAATTCCCGGTCAGGGCACATGCCCTGGTTGTGGGCTCAATTGTAGGAGGCAGCTGATCAATGATGACTCTCTCATCATTGATGTTTCTCTCCTTCCCTCTCCCTCTCGGGTTCAATTCCTGGTCAAGGGCACATGCCTGGGTTGCAAGTTTGATCCCTGCCCCAGTCGGGGCAAGTGCGAGAAGCAACCAATCAATGTGTCTCTCTCATATTAATGTTTCTCCCCGCCCTTCTACTCTCTTTAAAAATCAATGGGAAAAATATCCTCAGGTTAGGATTAACCAAACCAAACCAAACACCTAATTTATAGTGACAGAAAGCAGGTCAATGGTTATATACTTGAGGATCACGGTGGGAAATTAACTAAAAAGGGAAACAAGAGCATTTTCTGGGGTGGTGGAAATATTCTGTATCTTATTCCAGGTATTGGTTAGCTGGATATATGCAACTATCAAAACTCATCAAACCTGAATACTTCTTAAGATCTGTGTATCTTACTGCATGTAAATTATACCTCAATGTTTTTAACATTATAAAAGTTATTTTAAAAAACAAAAGTAAAAATAGTCTGGAGTCAGTGACTCTAGCAGATTGTTTGACATACATGCCTACATTTTAAATATACAACAGAAGCCCCCTACTACATTTTCTGTACCATTTAATGTTTATTAAATGTAAATAATTATTTCAAAATTTAAAAAATATTTATGAAAAGTGGATAAGTGATAGTAACTTTATCTATCCTACTCGAAGGAAAAAAATTAACGAAACTATAGCCAGAATACGTAACTCCTAGTATCAAAAGTTCAAACTCACTACAACCACTTAAACCTTTTTATTCTGAGGATTTTGATGAAATTATATTGTCAGCTTATATTTTTCCACTAAGCACAGAGAATCAATATCATCAGTGCAAAAGAAAATTTTGCTGAAAATTCCTAAATGCTTGGTAAATCCTAGAGACACAGAATTTTTCAGAAAAGACTAATTGAAATTTGTGAGATCAAAATACAAATTCATGTTTAATTCAAAAGAACTAAAAAGCATAGGTGATATTTATTTTTTAAAATATGACTTATGGAGAATAGAAAATAAAAAGCAAGAAAAGCAAAAAATTACTATCATACCCGTTGAAAATATGCTGAATGAGTGGGTGAGTAGTCTTCATGTATACATCCTGATTGGTGCATGCCTCACCAAAGACTTCATCAAAATAAAAAACATGCTGAAAAAGAAATTTGGTTTTTATAGAAGGAGACATTTTCTTCACCACTATCCTAGTTAACACATAATAAAGGAGGCACAAATACATTTTTAATTAATAGTAACTGACCATGACAAACTTAAAAATAAGCAATCAATAACTGTCAAAAGACAGGGCCTTCTACTTGACATCTCTTAGATATGTTCTTATAATGTAAAAACAAAGACACACAATTTTTGTTCTCTTCTAAGTGAAATAAATTGATGAGTACAAGAGTGAGCCAATCCTCCTTAGGTCCAGGAAAGAAACTGAATTCTATGGAGATTATCCTCATAAGCCCAGCCATAACTAACATTTTTGACATTTAGGGGGAATTCTGGAGGAAGACCTCCATTCTATAGGTTATATAGCTTAGCTTTTTTCTAAAATCTGCACCAAGGATATTTTTTTCTTTTGATTTTTAAAGAGTGGAAGAGAGGGAAGGGAGGGGGGAGAGGGAGAGGGAGAGAGAGAGAGAGAGAGAGAGGGAAACATCAATGAGGAGACGCCATAGCACATGAATAGGTTGCCTCCTGCATGCCCTGGCTGGGTAGCTCTCGGATGGTTGGAGCGTTGTCCCAATATGCCAAGGTTTTGGGTTCAATCTCTGGTCAGGGCACATACAAGAATCAACCAATGAATGAAGTGGGACAACAAATTGATGCTTCTCTTTCTCTCCCCCTCCCCTAAAAAACTAATCAATCAATCAATAAATAGTTGGAATAAAACATATACAGGTTTATTTCCTTGTTTTTTCACTTATTACGTTGAAAGAAAATTTAATGGTAAGTAGTATAGCACACTACATGTATATGATCACATATACTAAGTTGCAAAAGATTTGAAAGGATAGCATATTTAACAAACACAAACATATTGTATGAATTCCTAAATAAATTTAAAAATAAAACCCAAAGAATCTTGGATCAATATTTATTTGCTATAAACCTCCCTTTTCTTCTCTCTACTTAAGAAAGGAAAAAGGTGTGTGGGGGGCCTCCCAACACTTTTATATTACAGCATTGATAGGTAAGGACTTTGACCTATGAGAGCAAAGGTCCAAAGTTCAAACAGCAGAGAAAGTGCTATGGAAACTATGGGTATTCAATAAATATTGATCAATGGTAATAACAAAGAAGTAAGGTTATTGTGTTTTGGGATAATGGAAAAATACAAAAGATAAGCTGATGCCTCCCAGAGGGAATTATTGTGACAGAAGCATCATTAAGGCAGTCTTGGGTAGATGGTGATTGGATAGGGCTATTACTATGGCTGTAAGTAGCTATGGAACTAGATATCATTACAACTAATTGTTCATCTCGACCATCTTCAAAATAAATATCTCCCACCTAGACCTAATAGACTGTGCATTGATTAGCAATCGATAAGGCTGTTAAAGTGATTCGGTTAGTTATATAGTAGCCTAGTAATTTAGTGCCCATAGAAAGACTCAGTGGATTATTTTGAATGTTACTTTTAACCCAATTTTGATAACCAAAGAAAAACAAGATGAATGCAAGTGTAAAAGAGGGGGAAAGTGTTAACAATTTGATTTCAGTGTTAAAGGATTTGTTCCAGTAGAGTAAGGCTAAGGTGAATTGCTAGTTTGTCAGGTTACTCACCACTTTTTTTCTCTTTACCAATCATTGGATTTTGAGGTGAGAGAGAGAGAGAGAGCAGTGAGAGAGAGACAGACAGATATTGAGAGAGAGAATAGAATGAATATAAATGTCTTAGGGAGGTAGATTCAGAATAAGAGAAACTCTTAATTCCCAAATCTTAACTTCTGGTGGATTATCCCTGGTTTCAGATTATTTCACAATTGCTTCACAATTTTAGGAGTGCATAAGTTACCATATCTTCCATCTTTGGGGTTTGCTGCTTCCTTATGAGACTGAAGAGTTATTAGTTTAGAATAAGTTCCTTTCAATACCACACCCTTTCTCCTTGGACTCTTCATGATCATTCTGGCAGGGAGTGAACATTTTTTTATTTTGAATGTTTTTTTTATTGATTTCAGAGAGAGGTAGGGAGATGGAGAGAGAGAGAGAAACATCAAAGTAAGAGTCAGCCCAGTCAGGCATGGCTCAGCAGTTGAGCATAAACCTATGATGAAGGAGATCACAGTTTGATTCCTGGTCAGGGGCACATGCCCAGGCTGTGGGCTCGATCCCCAGTGGGAGATATAGGAGGCAGCTGATCAATCACTCATCATTGATGTTTCTATCTCTCCCTCTTCCTTTCTCTCTCTGAAATCAATAAAGACATATTTTTTTTTAAAAAAAGTCATTGATCAGCTGCCTCCTGTGTGCCCTCTATTGGGGATTGAGCCCGCAACCCGGGCATATACCATGACTGGGAATCTAACAGTGACCTCCTGGTTCATAGGTTGATGCTCAACCACTGAGACACCCCGGCCAGGAGGGAGTGAACATTTTTTTTGCATCTGAGCAACTAGTGTTTTATTTAAACCCTTATATGTTAAATGTGAAATTATATTCACCCACTGCAATCTACCCTGTACAAAGTGTTCTTCTCAAGGAGCCCAATTTCTACCAAATCAAGTCTAAATTCAAAGACAGTTGAGAATCAAAATAAGCAGTTGGCCGGCAATCTGGGGCCTTGTTGCTCGAGAATATATCCTCCATTATTAAACTCCAGACTCACACTCAACAGAGTGAGAAGTTCACATTTTGAGAGACGGGCAAGAATTGAGAATGTGTGATCATCTTGTAATAACTTTGGGGCATATGCTCAGTGACTAGTCCTATCACCACTTTATGACTTAAATTCTTTTTATCCTCTCATTCCCCCTCTTTTTGCTGAATATGTATAATTAAACTCACATAAAGCATGTTAAGTGGATGTAGGATACAACACTATTGCACTAGAGTGGAGGAATTATGTTTTTGTATCCCTCATTACACTATATTTAAAAAAATAAAGGCCCAGGGTATCAATGATTTAAGGCACAGTCAAATCAGGGATGGATGCCAATACCCAAACCAGAAACTGGATTTTAGAATTTGTATGCTGCCATTCAAACAAAAAGCAAAAATTTGACATACTTGATAAATATCAGTTCCAAACACAAAAAGAAAGCATCATACCTGCAGAATATATTGTGTGAGGTCAACTGCTTCTTTCTTCTCGTGAACAAGTAGAGTTTCTTTGTCTTTTACAGTAATAATATTAATTTCTCCACGACGTAACTCCCTCATGCCCAGAGGGCGTTTTCGAACACAAACTCTGATTTTCTCCATCTCAGTCCAAGGATTCTCTTTCTCTGAGGTGTTCTGTCTGACATAGTATGTTAACAAGTGGGCCTTAATTTTTAATAATTGGATAAGGCTACTTAAGAAGCATCAGTACATTTTGTTGTAAATTAGGTTATATATTTATATACATATATTTGCATATTAAAGTTTTGACACTGAGAAAGTTATTGGCTAAATTCTCCTGATTACTTCTCTCTATCCCTATTCCACACCACCCTTTGTCCTTACTGAAAAAAACAGCAAAAAATCACCCCCAAACTCTAAGAATTTGCTTTAGCTCTAAAACATGTGTTTGGCTTCCAGATGTGGTGTTCCAAAAGGCTTCTAATGATGGATGATGGAGGCTCTTTCTTTATGCCCCCAAAACTCAGGCTTATCAAGCCTCAAAATCTAATGCAATATGCTGCTACTATCCATCCAAGCCCTTTACAAGACCCAAGCCTTTGTTTCCTTTCAATCCGATTATTCTCATACATTTATTGTTTTTTTGATCATTCAATATAATCTTTTTTATCCTACCTGAGTTTACTGAATACTTTGAATTCTGTGGTAGGTTTTGATGTACTTTTCCCTTGTCCCTCCTAGATATATTCTGTGTCTTGTTCTTATACTTCCTTTTTTGCCCACCCCAATATGTATTCATTTGTTAGAACACAATTCTGCATTTCTTCTTCCTAGGAAAATTTTATGACTGGTTCTGTCGACCACTAACTCATTCTTCTATTCAGCTGCATTTCTTCTCTGGCTCTGACTTCAGTGAACTCATCAATCTTTTTTTTTTTTTTTAATTTATTTTATTTGAACTCATCAATCTTAATATCCAGAATATTTGAAGCAAACAGTCATTGGGGTTAGGGATACAAAGACCTACTTAACTCAACTACATGTTCTTTTTCTTTTTTTAAACTAAGCTTTATGTTTCCTGGTTGGCTGAAGTGAATTTAATAGCCTTAAAAAAATATATATCCTATGGATTGTGTAATTTCCCCCCCACTGTATAAGGCTAATTAACTATTTTACCTTAACAGATGCACTAGATGTATCATGTTACACCACAATAAATAATAGAAATAGGCCTGCTATAGGAATAATCGTAGATCCTGGCACGTAGCAGCTGCTTGATGTACATGAACAATACCATCTTTCTCCCATCTGGAAAGTCCACATTAATTTTCCCCTATCAAGGTATTTCTATTATCAATGCAGAAGCTGCTCACTATCATTTTCTGTAAATGAGGAGTTGGTTGCACTCCTCTGGTCATAAAGAGGCCTGCCTTTGTCTGAGCTACCCTCCCTTCAAAAATAAATAAATAAATAAATAAATAAATAAGATAAAAACACATTATTACCTGATAACAGAATGAGGGATTCCATAGTTATACCCTGAAACATGAGAGACTCTTTGAATAATGGGAATATCACAATCCCCCAGTACTGGAGAAAAGTGATTTGATGACAAGAGTGAAGTGTTAGTTTCTGTTTGCCCATAGGAATCAGCAGCTGTGGCATTCAGAATTCTTGTTTTTGTTTGGTACTGGGAATCATCTGGTAACATTTGCTCCAGCACTTTTAGGTAACTAGACTTCTGTTCATTTGCAGAGAAATCTGATAAGTTGCACATTTCAAACCCATAATTGCTGGTAGTTCTGTCTTTGTTGTCAGCAAGAGAATCAAAATGCAACTGTCTGCGAGGTCCGGATCTGGGTTCCTGAGGCTTGATGTACAGGCTTCTTGTCTGAAGAGGATGCTCTGGGCTACTGACTGCTTTATCTTCTTCCTGCATAATCTTAATGATTTTGATAAGTTGGAAGAGCCGTTTGCGGTCGTTCATGTCATGGACTCCTAATTTGGAGTAGTCCTTCATTGTAACCTTTGCTAATTCATCTATTTTCTGAAGGCCAAGGGCAGTAAAATGAGGATAATACTGTGCAAGTTCAGCTTCACAAAGACATTCATAGAACCAGGATGTCATTTTTGTGAATAGGTTTCTATAAACTCTGAAGGAAAAAAAAAGTCATTCATATGAAATACAGTATATATAATACAATTTATTCCTTTAAAAAATGAAAACCACAAAACATGCAGAAAAATCCATTCTAGTATACCAAGTTTTCAATAAATATATTTTTCTTCTGAAATGATTAAACAGCAGAGTGCATAAACAAAAATGCTTATAATGCGTTTGTAGAAACAGATATAGTTTGTTCATCTGCTTAGTAAAAGAGACTTTCATTTGTACATACACATAGCTACAGGTGCACACACTTAATACAAGTCACTTACTTATTTCTAGGGAGTTCCTTCCAACCTTGCAATGTCTACTTAACACATGTCACAAACTACTGAAACGTTGCTCCCAACCACTGATTGTAGCAGGACTAATTTTAGATGTTCAAGTTAACGTCAAGGCATGTTGCACAACTGTTTCCATGATTAATGAACAAAGGCTAAGAACTCTTTTAGAATGAGAAGCAGAATTAAATAGCAAACCACAGAGGATTACAAACTAATATAACTCTGAGGAAATCACATTTGTATCTGCTGAGTACTGGTAAAAGTTAGTTGTATAAAGAGGTAAAAGCATCATTAATTCAAAATCTACTAATTCACGATTTCAGATCATTCTAAAAGTTAGGTGGCTGCAGAATATGAATAAAAGAGTTTACCTAGGAAATTAATACTATGATCAAGATTTTAAATGACTGCACATTAAAATGCTTAATATGCCTAGATATTTAAATAAATACTAACAAATGATGTGGTAATAACATATAATCCTGGTCTATTATTAAAGTCAGGACCCTGAGGAGTTTCTCAGTACCACTGTTAAGTTCATGAGAACTTTCAGGGTTGTTGTTTTTTATTGGGGGGGGTGGGTTGAAATTCATTATTAACTCATGGGTTTTTATGTATTTCATGTATTCCAAGTAACTGTCTTAAGTCTTTGACACCTTCGTCTTGTATATTTCCTAGCCAAAACCTAAAATTGGCTTCCCTCCAAGAAACTAGAAGCAGCTGCCCATTGTCCAACATCCAGCTAAAGGTTACACATTCCCAGTAAGAAAGGATAGAGAAAGGAGAGAGGGCCTGGGGATTAGGGAAAAAGGGAAAGAGTGAGCACAACCACACTGGCCCTTCTTTTCCTTTTGGAGATCAGGAACAGCTCTTTACAGCCACAAGTAGCTAATCCAGAAAGGTCACTACTCCTTTCATATTTGAGTTACTGAATAGTCTCTCTAGGTCAATTTCTAGCTTCATGTCAACTCCAAACAATTAGTTGTGGCTTCTGGAAGGACTTATTAAGAAGGACTTTGAAGCATTTATAACCATTAATAGAATACAAAATGAGAAGCTAGGGCTGGAGGGTATCAAGTCGTTTCCATTTTATTTCTTTGCCCCCCGTTTGTTACACTGTGACTATAAGGATATAAACAGAGTTCTTCAACATAAAGGTGATAGGATATAATAATCACTAAGAAGCAGAAACAATCAGACAACTGGAATATAGGGCCAAAATTGTAGTAAATTAAATATTTCAAATATTTTAAGAAATTTCTCTGATCTCAAATGTCTTCTACCACTACTAGTTCATAAGGATTTATATAAAAATGAGAGATGGGTAAAGGAAGAGTTAGATGTCAAGGTTGCTGATTGTTGATTTGGTTTACTGGAGCATTCCTACTATCATGGCTCTAACACTACTGGGTAACCTATAGCAAAGAGGGCAAATACATATAGCCTATAGATACATATCTGTGCTGATCTTTTCCCCTCCCATATCCATGGCAAATAATCCAAATCCATTTCAATGTTCTTTCTTTCTTTTTTTTTTGCTAATTCTCACCCAAGGATATTTTTTCCATTGATTTTTAGAGAGAGTGGAAGACAAGGGGGAAGGGAAGGGAGAGAGGGGAGAGAGAGAGGAGGGCAGAGAGGGAAACACCGATATGAAACACATTGATTGGTTGCTTCCCGAATGTACCCCAAAAGGGGCTGGGGATGAAACCTGCAACCCAGGTAATGTGCCCTTGACTGGGAATCAAACCAGCAACCCTTGATGCATTGGCCAGTGCTCTAACCACTGAGCCTTGCTGGCCAGGGCTCAATGTTCTTTCTTATTAAGCTCTGAAACAGCCTCAGAACCCCCCTTTTTGGGTGTGTGTGCACGATACTATACAATTCCATGAGTTTTAACAGTTATACTGTATATACCTGTAAAACCTCTACCACAATTAAAATTCAGAATATCACCCTCAAAAGATTCCAGATTCCCTTTACATCCATTCTTCCTGCTGCTCCTGAACCTAGGCATATTATACATTAGTTTGCATTTTCTAAAATTTTAATATAAATGAAATTATACCACATATTCTCTTTTGTATCTGGCTTTTCTCAGCATAATGATTTGAGACTCATGTCCATGATGTGCATATCACACACACACACAGACACACACACACAATTTTACTTAGGAGGAGAAAGATCAAAATAGAATGAAGCAATGAGTTGCCCAAGATAACACATCTCTCAAGAGATATTTCTAAGATTGGAACTTAGGTCTTCTCATGGCTAATCCCATGTTCTTTTCTCTATTCCATGCTGCCTCTTTCAGAAGTAGCTGCAAAGATAGCCCCATTGCCAGCCCCCTTAACAGGCCCACTATCTATCCAGCTCAGTAGACTGGCTGCTTCCTGCAGATCTGTGAGGCAGCATGGAATCTCACAGCTGCCACAACCAGGAAAATGCCCTGCAAATCAGGTCCACTCACATTCAATGCCACAAGTATGTAGAGTTCTCCTTTGTGACAAATCCAGAGTCTGCTAGGTCTCAGCTGTTGGGGTAACAATTAGAAATAGTCTTGAAAGAAATCCAGTTGGCAAAAATTCAAATTTTCTTATCCTGGTGGCAGAGAAAATAAACTGGAAGGGGAACACTTTATACACAATAAAGGAAGTTTATTCACATTCCGGGATGTGGAAAAAAATCCAACTATTTAACATGCTCCCTCCAACTCTCCATTTGTCTACCTAAACTATGTAATTCTACCCACCAAAACTGCCTGAAACTGAACTTAAAATCAGATAATTCTCAGGCATTTAGCTGTGTGACCTTAAGCAAAATCACTTAGTTTCTCTGAATTTCATTTCCCTCTCTCAAAGGACACAGTAAGATATTTATGTAAAACTAAGCTGAAAGTACTCCATAAGGATGGGTCCATGTTCTTTTATTCAGCACAGGATCACTGTGCCTGGCACGTAGGAGTGTTGACTTTTTAAAAACAAATATATGCGCCATATAAATGACTTTTAACACTAATAAAGGATGGTTCCTTTACAGTAAGTCCTCACTTAACATTGTTGATAGGTTCTGTAACTAAGAGAAACAATGTATAACAAAACCAATTTTACTATAGGCTAAATGATAAAAACAAGAGTTAAGTTCCTCTGGCATCTCATCAGTGTTATAATGAAACATTATTCGAGGACCTGCCATATTTGACTGATAAAAAGCTGAATATATAACACAGAATTAAAAGGTAAGGGATTAGAGATACTGAAGTAGATCTATTATAATTGCAAAATATACTAATTAATAGTAACACTATTAATAACACTATATGTAAGCTTCTATTAACTTAAAACTGTTTCATTAATGACAAGTGTACATTTCTTTCCTTCATTGGCATAAATAGTTGACATACATGCCTGATTACCATATATAATGTGGAGATAGATGATGTTACGTATCAAAAGACTAATACTTGATACACAGTCATATGTACGTGCAGTCTTAATGACTTTCTTTTACTCAACTTTACTGAGGTATAATTTACATATAATAAACTAGACCCATTTTAAGTGTAAAGTTATATGAGTCTTGAAAAATATTTACCCATGTAACCACAACATCAAAATAAAATCAAGACAATCCCATCAATCCCCTCTAAAAGTTCCTAATAACCCTTGGCAGTCAATCCTCTCCTATACCCTTAGCCCCAGGTAATCACTGACGTGGCTTTTTGTCACTGTAGCCGAGTTTTATTTTCTAGAATTTCTCATAAAATAAAATCATATAGTGTCATTGTTATTTTAAACTTGTACAAGACACAGAGACTGAAGAGATTTTCCACTTTGTAGAAAATCCACTGTGTGATTTTCTTTCTTAGGCCTTAGGAAACAAGTTAAAATGACCATACTGCCCTGGCCAGGTAGCTCAGTTGGTTAGAGAGTGCTCCCAATACACCAGGGTTTGGGGTTCGATCTCCAGTCGGGGCACATACTGGAAGCAAACAATGAGTGCATAAATGAGTGGAACAACAAATCTATGTTTCTCTCTCTCCTCCTTCCTCTCTCTAAAAAAATCAATCAATCAATAAAAAATTAAAACTACCATACTGTTTTTCTTTTTTAATTTTTGACCATAGTGCTTTTCATTGCTCTTTTCCCACTGACCTAAATGATACCTGCTAATAAAGAAATTTCTTAAATCTAATTTTTTTTTTTATGTCAACCTGAGGAAAACAAGGAATTAGTGAAACAAATATACATATGGAGTCAATGACTTGGAAAAAGTATTCTATATTAAAAAAAACTGTCTGAAACCATCTCATGGATAGATAGGATGCTTTGCTAAAAAGAGTTTTGTCTTCTACTTTTAGGTGAAGAAAATTCAGTAACTAACATGAATCCAGGTGCAGATATTATAATTTCAAAACACTTGAAGAAAATATCAGAATCTACTGTTGCCTGCTTTTATAATTGTCCAGATTATTCAATATTTCTAATAAAAGTTTTAAATCACTATAAAAAAGTACAAAACCTAAATCTAAACTCTATATATTCCTTGCCAATCAGAAAAACTGGGGGGAAATGGCCCAAGTTCTAAAACATTCAAGTTATTTTTACTTTCACAAATTCATGTAACATCCCAAATACTTCAATTATCAAAGAGGAAGTGGGGGGAAAAAGGGTCAATAAATCCCTCTAGAACATCATCAAATTTTAGCAACTTTCTTGAGATATAATTCACAACCATAAAACTCACGTGTTTAAAGTATATAATTCAACAGTTTTGAGTTCAATACAGAGTTGTGCAACCATCACATTTTAGAACATTTTTATTACTCCAAAAAGAAACCTTGTAATATTAAATTTTACATGTTACACTAGCATCTAAAAGGGAAACGCTCTTCCCCTAAAACATTCATTGCTATAATTATCAATACCAAAATTAACCATGGAAGAAATTGAGAAAAGGTATTGAAATTGTCTATAGAAATTTGAGCTGTGGTTAACAGTTGTCAAGAATGCACATGATAAATACTTTTTCAGACTCTTCAAACCAAGACTGAAAAATCTCGAGAGCTTTACTGAGTAAATTGGAAGGGCTTAACAAACATGCTCTAGATAAGTGTGATAGCCAGTTTTTAAAAAGTAATGCAATATAAGCCTAATAATGCATAAACCAAAGCCTACTCCATTTTATTAAGATGCTTAGAAACCCTATCCTTACTTATTTTAAATAAAAAAACTTGTTTTTTAAAAAAGCCTTACTCACTTGTACATGGATTTCATAGTGCCACATAATCTTTATTTTTATAATGGTTAATTAAATAATTGTCTTTAAAGGTATATTTATTTTCTTATAAAGAATACAGAGAAGAAGACATTAAAGTGTGGCTTTGGGTAACTTTTACAGTAGCTGGAAACATTTGTGTGTTCATGGCCTTTTAAAACATAAAAATATTTAAAAATTTTACAAAAATAATTCATGTTCCCAAGTTTTAAAAAAAATTTCTCCAACAACGTAATTTCAAATTATTTATCCTGAGCAACTCCTGAAATAACTAAAAGTTCACAAATGCCAGAGATAACCAGATCATTTGTGAGGTAATTAAAAAATACAGCCAAACAGTAAACAGAACTTATATGTAACTAATCCTAAATAGAACCTGATAAATACAACTTACAAAATTCTTTAAATGACCATGACATTTTTCAATAAATATTTCTGCATGGAAAACTTTTTAAAAGGCACTCTCAGCAAGTTACATTTAGGAAATGTAAAAGGATAATATCTACTTCTAAATATGATTCTATTATGTTTGAGAGAAAGTTCTTAATGAAACAGCAGAGAACATACTGTTCCTTAGAAAAAGAAAACTAAGGGGCAGTGAAGCAGGTTATCTTCACCAAGGGAGGGGAAAAAAGGTGTGGAAGAAAACAATACACTAAATTAGAGAAGGCAGAGAGTTATGGAGAAATTTCAGAGTAAAGGAACATGGGGCTAAATCAATAACACTGAAAAACTGTTTGGCATTATCTATGAAGTTGAGTATTATACGATCAAGCAACTCAACCTGAGAAAAACTTTTTGCACATGTGCTTCAGGAGGCACATACAAAAATGTTCATAGCAGCACTATCCATAAAACCCCAAACTGAAAGTAATCTGAATGTCCACTGGCTGGAGATGAGATAAATACATTTGGCATATTCAGATACTGAAATATTATACAATAATAACAAAACAAATTAACAGCTACCCTAAACAATTTATCAAGTCTCAGAAACATCATGAGGAGAAAGACAAATCCCAGAAAACAATGTATCTTTCTATAATGCTCAAAAGAATGTAGGATAATGGTTACCTCTGAGGGGAGAGCAGGGAAACAGGGAAAAGGAGAAGAACACAGGGATGTTATGTGCTAGGTCTTGGGTATTTATTCATTTTGTCTTATACTGTATAACTTACGTATGTTTCATACATATTCTTTGGTATGTACCATATTATATTTGTATAAGAGAAAGAAAAAAAATCCTACTAGCCAGGTCAGTAGAGATCATCTC